CAGTTTCGTCCTATTAACAAATACGGTCTAGGCATGTTGTGTTTACGTGCGTGTGTGTTTGTGCGTGTTTGTGTGCGTTTTTGTATGTGTGAGTGTGTTTTTTTATGTGTTTGTGTGTGTGTTTCTTTGTGTATGTGTTTTTTTTGTCCTATTAACAAATATGGTCTAGGCATGTTGTGTTTGCGTGCGTGTGTGTGTTTGTGAGTGTTTGTGTGAGTTTTTGTATGTGTGTGTGTGCTTCTGTGTGTGTTTTTTGTCCCATTAACAAACATGGTCTAGGGATGTTATACTTTATATGTGTGTGTTTGTATATATGTGGGCGTTTTTTTGTCTGTTGGTTTGTGTGTCCGTACAGTACAATTTATGTGTTTGTATGCGTATACCAAACACACATATATGCATACCTAACAACACAAATAGGTATTTATTTTATGTGTTTGTATGCGTATGTGCATACACAACACATATGTGAATGTACGTGCTTGTTTTGTACGCGCATCTAAAAATAAACTTGCGTGGTTTTCTTCCCAACGCGTGTGGGTAACAATTCATACATCATATGTATATCACACATGTGCAACTATACCACATAAAACATATACCACGCGTTAACATATAGTGCCTATATACCAGACAGATTTATACCATGTATACATCACGTTCACTAGGCGTCATAGGTGTATGAAACGCTCATCTTCTAATGTGTAAATACCCACACACACACATATCTATATGAATTTTGATATATGTGTGGATATATATATATATATATATATATATATATATATGTATAATATATACATATACATGTTGTGTGTTATATACACATATAGGTGCACCTATGTGTATGTATACGTTTATTTATAAGTATATATGTGTGTATTTATACCGGTATGTACGTACGTATATGAATGTATGTCCTTGTTATTCAGTGATAGGTGTGGGTGTATGTACTGAAGAGATAGATGTCTGCCACTGACTGTCGCACTTTTAAACTTGCCCAAGTAGGATTTTCTCTGCCTCAGTGTGAAATTGAAGGTGTCACACAAGTTATATTATAACAAAATTAATTAATTAATTAATAATAATAGTTATTATTATTATTATTATTATGCATACTAATATCATGTATGCATTGTATGAGTTTTACGTAGACGAAATAATGAATAAATGAATGATTTATGAATTTGTGAATTAATGAGTGATTGAATGAGTGGATGAATGAACAAACGCATTAATGAGCGACTGAATAAACGGGGGTTAAATCATTCATTCATTGGATGAATGATTCTGAGAGAGTTTAATTCTTTTCGTGTTTTAGATGTTTGAAACTAATGTTATTGCATAAATGTCCAATGGAATGAGTGAGTGAATGAGTGAATGAATGAGTGAATCAGTGAGTAAAAATTGCCTTTAAGTTGTTAAGCTTGAAAAAAAGATTGAAGGAAATAAAATCATAGACAGTAAAATCTCTTGATAAATCATAATGAATGGTTGACTTAACATGTATACAACTTGTGGCTGTCAACGCGTTTTTATTTCTTCATTAATTCATTCGTTCAATCATTCATTCAATCAATCAATCATTTGTACTTTCATTTAAAGGTTCATTCGATTATTCATTTTCTTCTACATTCATTCACTCACTCCATACCCTTGCAAACTTGCTTATTCATCGATTCATTGTAGATTTATTTCTCTATTATTTTTCTCTTAACCTAATGAATCATCATTTTTAATTCATTCATTCATTCATTCATTCATTCATTCATTCATTCATTCATTCATTCATTCATTCATTCATTCATTCATTCATTCATTCATTCATTCATTCATTCATTCATTCATTCATTCATTCATTCATTCATTCATTCATTCATTCATTCATTCATTCATTCATTCATTCATTCATTCATTCATTCATTCATTCATTCATTCATTCATTCATTCATTCATTCATTCATTCATTCATTCATTCATTCATTCATTCATTCATTCATTCATTCATTCATTCATTCATTCATTCATTCATTCATTCATTCATTCATTCATTCATTCATTCATTCATTCATTCATTCATTCATTCATTCATTCATTCATTCATTCATTCATTCATTCATTCATTCATTCATTCATTCATTCATTCATTCATTCATTCATTCATTCATTCATTCATTCATTCATTCATTCATTCATTCATTCATTCATTCATTCATTCATTCATTCATTCATTCATTCATTCATTCATTTC